GTATTCCATTGTGTGAATATACCACAGCTTCTCTAGCCATTCGTTTGTTGATGGGCACTTAGGTTGTTTCCAACTCCTTGCTATTTTTAAAATGTGTTCATCAAAAGTTACAGACTTCTGTAATTCAGGTGCCAGTATCTTATGAAAAGTGTTTGAGTGACAGTTTTTTTTTATTTCAGAGGTGTAATAGTAAGTCAATACAATATTAAAATAAATAGATTGATGGTTTTAGGAATAAGAATGAATGGAACATACTTGATACAGAAACAAGAAATTTTGAAATCCCCTGATAATGGGGAAGCTACCCTGCTCAGGGAAGGAGAAGACTTAGATCCTTTATCTAGATCCTTTGTCCTTGATTGAGATCTTCTAGAAGTCATCATGCTTTTTGGTCACCCTGTCCCCTGGGAAGACTGTACAAAGAAGACAGCACATATGAGCATAAAATGATTTATACTTGTTTCTAAGATTCCCTTTATCTTTGCAAACTATTATTTAATATGGACTTGCAGTATGAAAGGACCATGGAGGAAACATGACTTAGAAGAAACTTGAAATGTAGCTCTTGGTAAGGAAGTTGTAGTGCATTATCCATGGCTATGCAGTGAAACCTTGAAGAAAACGAGGAATCCAGTGGAAATCTGAATGGATTTGCCAACTGTGCCTCACTGAGCATCTCTTACTTTAGCACAAGGCCCCCAGAAAGAAAGCCTTTCTCTTTGCGAAAATATATCATTTAAAAAAATCTTATAACAACCCTGTAAAATCAAAACCAAACCTTTGACTACCCTCTGACTCGTGCTGACGCTGTGCGGGGTTGCCAAGGCTGCAAATGTTTATAGAAAATGACTGTCAATCTCTTTCAGGCAGAACAACTGATGGGCTTGAATGACTGACCTTTCAGTTAGTAATCTAACACATAATTCACTGCACCACTAAGGTTTGTTAACATAGAAGATAGTAGTATTTTCTTCATTATTCTGATAATGTAACTAGGACCCCTAAGCCCTATATCTGGTAGGAATTGGACTAAATATTTGAACCCAGATCTGGCTGGTTCTCCACTACTGTATGACTTAATAACTGCTAGCCTTCACTTCACGAATCCTCTGCTCTAGCATAACCATAAGCACTTCACATGTTTCGTCCTCATTGACAGGTTCTAGATTATAAGTGATACAACTAGAATAATTCATGCAACTTTGTAATTTCTAAGTGGAAACCATATGAATAAAATGTTCAATCAAAGGTAAAATTAACAAAAATTTTAACAAAATATGGACCAGTTACTGTATTAACATCTGTTCCCCAAGATTTAATTATATCTACACTTAGTTTGTACATACACACAAATGTCTTTAGAGAGGGACATCATGCTGGGTAGAATAGAGGGACAGCACAGGAGGGGAAGACCCTCTATGAGGTGGATTGATTCAGTGACTGGGGTAATCGGGGTGGGTGTGTCGGAGGCAGTGTGATTGGTACAGGATAGAGCACGGTTTAGGGCTGTTGTACATAGGGTCGCTATGAGTTGCAAACGACTCGACGGCACATAACAACAACAACACTTAGTTTGCAGATATTTATTATTACAGATATTTATTATTATTATCTCTTATGTGCTCTCTTGTTCGTAGTGTACACAAATAGGAAGCATAGGATTAATAAAACCATCAGAAGAATGTCTGTGCTCTGTTAACTACAGGAAAACACTTGAATGCAGGGATCATAACAAATTATGACAAACATTGAGAAGAATGGAAATTCCAAAACACATAATTGTGCTGGTGCAAATCCTATCCCTTTGTTATTGTGTAAACAGAACGAAGGAACACTGCATGGTTTAAAATTAGGAAGGGTGTGCATCAGGGTAGTATCCTTTCTCCATACCTATTTAATCTATATGCTGATATTATTCAAGGAGCTGAACTCTGTGAAGAAGAATGTGGCATCAGAATCAGAGGAAGATTCATAAAAAACTGGTGTTATGCAGATGGCACAATCTTGCTGAAAGGAAGGAAGACTTAAGAACTTGCTGCAGAGGATCAGAGATTGCAGCATTCAATATGGATTACATTGCAACATCAAGAAAACAAAAATCCTAGTCACTGGATCATAGACACCTTCATGATCAATGGAGAAGAGATTAAGACTATCAGTGACGTCACCTTGGATCCCCTTGGTTCTAGCAGTCAGGAGGTCAGACTTACTGTACTGGGAAAGTCTGTAGTCAGGGACCTCTCTAAATTATTGAGAAGCATTGGTAACAGTTGGAGGACTAAGATGTGTCTACTTTAGGCCATGGTCTTTTAAATCACTTGCTTTGCATCTGAGAGCTGGACAATGACTAAGGATTAGAGAAGAAGAATTGATGCCTTTGAGTTGTAGTGCTGGAGAAGAGTGCTCAATATCCATGCCATGGACTGCCAGAAAACATACAGAATAAGATGCAGCCAGAGTGTGCTCTTTGGAGGCAAAGATGATGAAGCTTTGTCCCACATACTTTGGGCATGTTGCTAGGAGAGGTGGAGGGATGGCAAAGGAGGGGAGGACCTACAAACAGTTGATCAACATGATAACTAGCAAAGAGCTCAATTATATCAGAGATGAAAATGACACACGATAGATTCATAGGGTTGTACTTGGCTTGAAGTTACCTAATAGCAACAACAGGCTTCATACATATGTGTGGCATTTTTACATAGAAATATATTGATTATATTAAGCCTTTCTGCCACCCACCCCATTTTCAAGTGTTTGGAATGCTTCATATAACTGATCTCATTGACTTCTCACACACTTGTGAAGAAGGCTCGCAAACATGACCTCTTTGAAGAAGAGTTACCTGGGAACTGAGGCATAGGGAGGTTAAATGTGAATTCAAGTCTCCAGTCTGGTCAGCTGAGCAGCATCTGGAGCTCGGGCCTTCCTTCCGGTTTCCTGGCCCTGTGCTTTCCTGATTGGCTGCCCATGTCTTTTTTTTTTTTTT